GCCGCCCCCCTCCTGCCCGGGGTCCGGCCCCTCACCATGACGGTGGTGTCCTCGGAGGCGCTGGCGATGACGTTGTCGTTGTGGGGACACCAGTCGATGTCCAGCACAGGCGCCGTGTGCCCCGTCACCAGCGGGTGGTTCTTGTCCACCCGTCCCGTCTGCAATGCCGAGGTGCCAGGATGAGTCCCCCCAGCAGCCGGGGGAGCCTTGCCAGGTGCCCCCCAAGCCCCAGCCCGGCCACCACATGCGGTTGTGGCACAAGCAGGGACACGCACAGGACCCCGGTGGTGGCCAGAGCTTTGCACCTGCCTCAAAGGGGGAAACTGAGGCACACAGTGGGAATGGGGCTCACTTATAGCATGAGGCCCCGCAGAGCCGCAGAGGGGAACGATGTGCCCCGGGAGAGGTTGCTTTGTGTCCCCTCTGATGGCAAGGAGGGGCTGGGGACCCCCTCCCAGCCCCTCTGCTGGGGTGGGCAGGGCAGACCCCCATCCCACTGGGCTGCTCCCTGGGCATCGCGTGCCCCTGGGGAATTTGGGCTGGCGAGAAAGCAGCCGGGGGTTTCCTGCATCACCTCGGTCACCCCCTGGGACATCAATGACCACCCCAGGCAGCCTCTGCCCCAAGCCCCCACATGAGGACAGGGATGTCGGGGCAAAGCTGGGGGGCTCTGGAGCCACAGCAGCCCCCCAAAAGCAGAGCCCATCAGCATGTCCCCCCACATACATCCCAGGGGGGCCAGACCCTGGCACCAGCCTCCCCGCTCACCTTGGCAAGAGGCAGGACAATGAAGGCCCCCCCGCCGCCGGACTCCACAATGATGGCCACAAACTTGGGGTTGACGGCACAGAAGGAGCTGTCCCACGTCACCTTGGAGACGCGGATGTCCTCGTACATCTGGTCGGCCTTCACCGGCTGCCCGAAGACATGCCGGAACTTGCTCTGGCGCACCACGCGGCGGCTCATGGCTGGGGGGCACAGGGTCAGGCCACGACCCACCCCGGCACAGCATGGAGGGGTTTCAGCCCCCTCAAGCCTTGCACTCCAAAAGACCCCCCCCCTACCCCGGGCACAGGGGAAGCCTGGGGACACGGAGATGGTGGGGGATGAGGGTGCAGGATGGTGCACGACGTGGCCCCGACCCCGCGGCAGGGACCGGGGGCAGCCCTGGTGCAGGGGGGTGTGGGTGCTGCAAGCGCTGGGGACGGGCATCCTGTGGCCAGAGCCACTTGACGGCTGGGTAGGGACACGGCCGTGCCACGATGTGCAGCTGTGCCATGTCCTGTGGCTATGCTGTGCCCCACGGCTGTGCCATGCCCCACGGCTGGCACTGGGGTTGGCACGTGAGCAGCTGCAGTAGAGAAGTGGGGCTGAGGGGAGTTTGGGGCGGACATGGAGGTGCCATGCACCAGGTCACAGATTGTCCCCTTGTGTCCCATCATCCATCGGTGGCCTGAGGTCGCCTGGCTCAGCCCAGCACCCAGGAGGGAGGCTGTGCCTCCAGCGTTGCCCACCCCACACCTCCCCCCATGCGCCCCTGCTCTGGGGCTCCGCGTGTGCCACCCACTCTGCACCCCCAACCCACTCGCCTGGCACTGACCCCGGGCGAGGGCTGGACCCAGCAAAGCCACGCAGCCCCATGGGCACACCGGGGTGCGGAGGAGACCCCCGTGCTCAGCATGGCCCCGGCAGGGTCTCCAGCCCTCAGCCACAGCCAGGCACGCTGCCTGCGATCACCCATCTCCGTCCCAAGCCTGCACTGCTCCTGGGACCTGCCTGGGGGCAGTGAGCCCCTCAGGACCCCAAAACCCCTGGAGTTGGGGCTCTGCAGCACCCATGAGCCACTAACCACCCCGGGGACTCCCCTGTGCTCTTTTGGGGCCTCAGCCATTGCCAGGGGCCATATCCAGCCACCAAACCACAGCCTGCAGGGGCTGGTGCAGGCAGAGTTAGGAGCGAATCTGCTCCTCCAATTCCCGGCTGGTGGCTTTTGGCCAGGGCACGTGCAGCACCAAGCCAAGCCACATCTGCCTGGTCCCTGGGCGTCCCCAGGGGTCCCCGTGGCCCTTCAGCATCGCCCCTGGCCCGGCAGAGCGGGTGCAGGCCAGAGCC